ATGTGGATCAATGAGTAATGCCTTTGACTGAAACTCTTCCCACATTGTTTACAAGAATATGGTTTCTCACCTGTGTGAGTTCTCATGTGGATCAATGAGTAATGCCTTTGACTGAAACTCTTCCCACATTGTTTACAAGAATATGGTTTCTCACCTGTGTGAGTTCTCATGTGACTAATTAAAGCATTGCTTCGAATGAAACTCTTCCCACATTGTTTACATGAATATGATTTTTCCTGTGAGTGAACTTTATTGTGACGGTTCAGTGATGATAAATCAGAAAAACACTTTCTATGACTCTTGTCAGTGTTTGGTTTTCTCTCATCTATGTGACCGTGTTCTTGTGGTGCTGATGAGGCACAAACTGATTTCTCACCTGTGTGAATTCTGCCACATTTCTTCAAAGAGGATTTTATCTTCAAAGTTTTACCACAAATATCCCATTTGACCAAAGCCTTATCTGAATCAACATCACACAGACTGTCTGACAGATAAGAGCTTTTTACAGTCTTACTTCTGCTTCTGTCAGAACTCTTCTTTGCCTTCAGCACTAAGTTTGGACTTGGTCCTGGTTCTTCCTGCTTGCTTCCTTCATAATCATAGACCTCTTCTACAGGAGACATGTGACAGTGGAGTTGGTCCATGTTTGGTTCTGGTTCACTGTGGTCACGTTCTTCATAAGTTGAAGTCTCAGTGAAGGTATCAGTCTTCTGTTCCAGAACAAACTTCTCTTCTGTCTGGTCAGTAAGAGCCTCCTCCTTGTAGACATGATGTTGTGGCAGTTCTAGAGACACATAGAGAAAAAGTGAAGCAAATTAATTACATACACCTAACAAAAATATAAACAACACTTTTGTTTTTGCTGCCATTTTTTATGAGCTGAACTCAAAGATCTAAGAATTTTTCTATGCACACAAAAAAACCTTCCTTCAAATATTGTTCAGATATTTGAGGGCTACTGGGCAGCAGAGAACAAGAGGGAGGGACCCATATGGTGTGTTCGTTCAAAATTTCATGCCAAGTCCACTGTTTTCTCAGAACTACCTACTGCATCTTTAAGTTCTATCAAACCCCGGAGTTACACTGTGTTTGCAGAAAGGGGTCGTATAACCGAGCAGAGACAACAGACCTGAAGCAAACTTATTCTGTTTATTACTGATTTTTAATGCATCACACATACCTTCTTCTAGGTTAACTAGAATATATTTTGATTATCAGTGGTGGGCATTAGTCCCCTAAAGCACCAATTGCAGGATTAATTTTCTCAATTGCTCTTTATGGGTTTTACTAACTTTCTCTGTGCACAGATTTGTGCTTTCTAACTTTAAAATTGAAAAGCGCTAATCTAAGTATTTCATTGACTGTTAATGGTCATTACTTTATAAAGCAGAGAAAGAAAACTGTCAGAAGCTATAACTATGATAAATCACTTACTATCTAAGACAGGGGTGGGCAATCCTGGTCCTCGAGGGCCGCAGCCCTACATGTTTTACGTTTTTCCTGGCTCCAACACACCTGATTCAGACATTGATTTACCTTCTAAGTTCTACTGTATGGAGGAACAAAACTGACATAATTATAAATAAAAGCAAAAATAHATAAATGAACCACTAAATAAATAAATACACTTAAAATGCACCAATTCAATTAAAAAAGAACGTCACCTCATGTTTTGTAATTTAATTCTCGTTTAATTGATATTTTTCAACACACTTCAAATTTGACTGTTTTTTAAAATATGTATTTTTCAGTTTTACTTTTTACTTGTACAAACATTTGTCTCTTAAATGTTTAAATTGAAATATTTTTATGGTTTGTCCCACAAGTCTTTTTTGTTTCGATGTGTTGCAGGCGTGTGCTGCCTCAGTTCAGCTTAAAGTTTAAAGTTTAGTTAAAAACAAAGGCACGGGTAAGTTTTTCTCCTTGCCTTTGTGTTAAACTAAACTTTAAGCTAAACTGAGGCAGCACACGCCTGCAACACGTAGAAATAAAAAAGCCTTGTGGGTAAAATATAAAAATAATCAAGTATAAACATTAAAGAGACACAAATGCATGTAGAAGTAAAAGGAAAAACAAAAACGTATGTATTTCAAAAAAAACATTCAAATTTATTTAGTGGTTCATTTATTTAATTCTGCTTTTATTTCTAATTATGTCAGTTTCAGTCCTCCATACTGCAAGAAGCCTGATAATCATCCATTCATTCAAATCAGGTGTGTTGGAGCAGAGAAGCAAGTAAAACATGCAGGGCTGTGGCCCTCGAGGACCAGGATTGCCCACCCCTGATCTAAGATTTTAAACATCATCAGCTGCATGGAAAAAAGGACGCTGCCAGTGGATCAGTGCTTGGACAAAGGAAAGGCAAACTTTCTCCTTGAGAAAGGCAGCTTTGCTACAAACTGGCAGTGGACATCTGTCCATAAGCACGCGCACACACAGCGAGGGACACTTCGTAGATGTGTTTGTTCATGAGGAGAGCTGAGTTGAGCCTCCACAGCAGCTCCTAATTCATGTTATTTTGTTTAAAATGATTTTCTTGTCTGAAGCCAGTGGTTAAAAGAGCTAGATCAGCAGCTGGTTTAATCCCATTCAACAACAGCTGATGTTCATGTTCATCATGTATATTTATCCATCACCACCGTTAACAGAAAAAAAGTTTCCCCAACAACACTGATTGTTGAGTGAAAAACAAACAATATACAGCCATCATTATTGTTGTTTATATACATACTTATATGTTCATAAGTATGTATGGAAGGGTAGAGGGAGGAATTATAATAATTTATGACCCGCATCTTCAACCGTGTCTTTTCTCAGCCGTTCCAGCTCACAGAACACATTACACAAATACATATTTATATAATAAACTAAACTGTGGAATGTCAGTGAATAAACTAAACTGCTAAACTGTGGAATGTCAGAAGTGTATAATAAAATTCAGAAACATTTTACTGGTGACATAAAGAGATATATCACTGCATAACCTGCAGCAGGGATTGTGCAATCCAAGTGGAGGAGCGTGGTTGAAAGGATTGTGCAATCTGGAGGTGGAGTTTGATTTTGCTTCCTAGTCAGTCTCTCCTGTATTTAAACAGGAAATGAGGAAATTCAGCGATTTTGAATAAAAAAATTTTAAAAATATTTTTAAGTTAATTGAAAATGTGTTTATAGTACAAATTGTATAAATATGGCAATTTAATGCGTTTAATATTGTTTTTTTTACTTCCATGATGACAGGGTAGGCTCTGCCTCCCCTGCCTCTAGTGACTGCACCTTACTGTTCCAGCCATAACATGAGCCACTTATGCGTAATGCTGCCAACTAGAGGCACATCACTTTACTTTTAAGCTGGGTTCCCACCAAACGCATCTTGAGCAGCAAAAACACACCAGACGTCAAACTGTGGCTGCTTGTCAACAGATATCCGTTCACACAGAAGGCGTCTGAAGATGCGCAATGGGAGGAGCATCTTGGTTCTTTTCCGGTCGAGTTTGTTTTTGTCCGGTCTCTGAAACGGCGGACGTAATCCGAAGAATTGCTTTGTTGTATTTAATCAACAAAGCAGCATCAGATAGATGCCGTGCGCAATGCCAGTTCTGAATTCATCCCACAATACAGAGGCGTTTGCATTTTGGTGAATTTCACCATCTAATCCAGGAGCTGCGTGCAGATGAGCATCGCTTTCAGCGGTACTTCCGTGTCACTCGAGCCCAGTTTGACGACCTGCTGTCCCCCGTTGGTGCTCGCATCACCTACCAGGACACCAATTACAGGCGCACAATTTCAGCAGAACGGTTGTCCATCTGTCTCAGGTTGGYATCATTTCAGACTACATAGATTTAGAGAAAATGTACCCTACAAGTATGCAACGGTATTTAGGTGACTATTTTCTACCGAACTTTTGAACAGTAAACCAATAATAAAAAAACTTGGTGCCAAACGTGCAGTAATTTTCCAAAGTGTATGTGTCTAACATGACTGGCTTAAAATCTACAAAGAAGGTAGTTGCTCAGTCAAGTCAGTGCATGCATACATATGGATATGTACAAATACACATTCCAAACTGCATTTATACAATCTGTAAATATGTGTATATATGCATGGATGTGTGTGTGTACACATACACACATGCACATATACTGTGTATATA